TCCTTATTATTATTATTATTATTATTATTATTATTATTATTATTATTGTACCAGGAATCAAACTCAGGACCTTGTGCTTGGGAGGCAGGCACAACACCACTGAGCTAAATTCCTGTCCCTCTTCATTTTCTTAATGATTTCTTTTGATGAGCAAAATTCTTCAATTCTCATGTTTCATTTTTTTTTTATAGTTACTGCTCTATATGGTTTAAAAAAATTTTTCCTACACCCATGTTGTGATTATATTCTGTGCATTCACTTAAAAGAAGAATTTAGTTTTTATAATTTAGGCTTATAATACACTTTAAATTAATATTTGCACATGGCATGAGGCAGGGTCAAAGTTCCTTTATTTCTCCCATGTGGACATTAAGTTGTCACGATAAGAAGTTGTCAAAATGGGAAGTCCTACCTCCCATGCTGTCACAGTAACACAGATTTCACAATATACAAATTAAAATACCTTTATGAAAAGTCTTGAATCCAGTTGAGAGTTTACAGTAACTTCAGACAAGCACAGAACTACAAACAGCTTCATTGAGGCAGGTCCCACATCCCTGAGTCTTGGAGTAGAGTTTTTCTCAGTGACACCATCCTCTGGTAGCAGGAAACCTCCAATAGACTGGTCTCACTAGACCAGTATCAGCTCCAAGCATAGTCCCTAGTCAGTAGCAAAGAAGAATTAAAGCATGGATTATATGCCTAAACCAATACTGAAGCAGGATTGCAGAGGGGACATGTTGGGGTAGTGGGGAGCTAAGTTGAGAGGTAGTAAACATAGACATTGAAATAAGAAATTGAATAACTATCTGATTTTGAGACATATTCCTTAATCTGTTATCCTGTATTTCATGATCTACGAACTGTAAATAATACTCATATCACATGGTAGCTATGAGATTTAAGTGAGTTAATTCATATAAAGTCCATTACATGGGACTTGTTCGTTGTACTTGCTCTATAAATGTTGGTCTTTTCCCCCTCTCCACTTTGCACCAGACTCTTCAGGGTTACCTTCTTTAATTTACCACTAGGTGGTGTTAGCCTCTGAGCTGCACAGACTCAGATCTGCCCTCCGAATGCCCCATTCCAGGCCTTCCTTTACCCTCAGAAAAAGGGGTCGTTACCATTCTTGGTATCCTGTACATGAATTTCAGAAAATTCTTCCTTGATTCTCCACTAGTTTTGTTATACTTCCAACCTAAGCATTTAAAGATAGAAGCTCCTTAAGAGAAAGAGAAGATGCTGAGGCTGAGATTGAATAATGAGTGCCCTCAGAGAAATACAAAGGAGGAGATGCTTACAGCACATCATTTCCCCTACCAGGAAGGTAACCCCAGTTCTAACACTCACCAACTTCCCCACCAGTGAAGAGCTGGGTGGAGGGCTGGGCTATAGTCCAATGGTAGAGCATTTTTCTAGCTTGTGCAAGGGCCTGGATTCAATTTCTGGTACAGAAAGAAAAAAAGATCTGAGTAGATACAAAGAAGTAGAAGACATGACCTCTGTCTTCGAGGAGTTCATGGTCTGGTGGTAGACATAGAACTCTCAAAATTAAGTGCTAAACTCTGGATACTGGGGCTATCTTGAGTACAAGTTTTGAAGAGAAGAGATGGACTGAGCAAGAACAATGGAAGAGCTTTTCTGAGGAGGGTAGAGGAGCTAGGGGAACAGAATAATGAAAGACTCAGACAGAAATATGCATTCTCTCATCTCAGAGAGACTCTTGCAACAGTTCACATACTGGAAACAACCCAAAGGCCCAACAAACCCAATAGTGGAGCACCCAAGCAAGGACATTCCAAGTGGCCAATATAAAGTGTGAGCTGGGTGTGTGCATAATGCATGGAAAGAGATCAAAATAAATTAATTGAAAAAAGTAAGTTGCAAGAGTATATACTATATGAACTCACTGGTGGTTTTCAAAGATTTTCACTTATATTGTAAGTTGTTAAATGGGAAAAAAAACCCTCCTGGAAGCATTCCCCAAGGAAACAATAGTAGTAGTTACTCTAAGGGTGGGGGCTGAAGAATAGGAGCATGGAGCGCTGCAAATTTGATTATACTTCCAACCTCCTACATTCTTATACTTTGAGATTTTTAACCAGTAAATATTATTGTTATTATTATTATATTTTCAATTAAAAGTTAATAAAAATAAATACACATTTCACATTCAAAATATAGCAGGGGTTGAAAGGTAGCAAGCAAGAAGGAAATGTCAGCATCCTTGGCTGGCACAAGATATTGGGAGGCCATAACAGGGAGAAGAGTTCATATTTGATTCAGTTGTTTACAGGCCTCCAATTGAGTTCTGTTAGCATGGAACAGACAGGGAAAATAGATTTAAGAAGATTCGCCTATGTAACTAAGTCAGCTTGGAAGCAGAACCCCTCACAGCCCAATCGGGCTGATCCAGATGTTTTTCCAGCAAAGTTGTGTGAGGTCAGCTTCAGTTGGATTTTACTTGAACCACCTTGTGGGGAGAAGCCCTAGCAGAAACCTAGCAGGCATCCACTAAATACATTTGGTGAATCCCTGTCTGGTCCTGGCACTGTTACACCATGGGGGCTAAATAAAAAGTGGAATAAGACCCCTACCCCTACTGGGAAACATCCTCTGGCAGTAAAAAATGAAAGAAATCTGAGATATATTTCAAAGGGGGGAAAATGGCAGGCCTTAAGCACAGGCTGGCAAGACTGGATACAAGAATGAAAGACGGTCAAATTGGCCCAAAGTCTTTGGTTTTCTCCCTGGGAGTCTAAAACCAGGTGGCTATGACCCTGAGCAAAGAGAACCAGGACAAAGCTCTGGTTTGGGGGAAAGGTCGCGCTCACTATCATTAACAGTAAAGTTCTCCCTTGCTCCCTTTTCTGCCAACGGCAGACTTTAGTGGAGACTCGGGATCTTCCCTGACTAGAACTAAAGAGGGTGAAAGTTGGTGCAAACATTCCTCATCTCTAAGGTCCATCTCTGGCAGCCGCAGTCGCCTGCTGAGCTCCCTGAACTCTGACTTCAGACACCCAGAACATCAGACACCAAGGGGTGCAGACATCAAACTTCAAACGGCGCCCAGAAGGGGGCAGTGGCCAGAAGCACATTCGCCGGCCCCTGGGAACCGCCTTCTGAACTCCGCGTACCTTTCCCGTACGAGCTGAGCCTGGGGACAAAGGTCCGGCACTTAGCCGACATTCCCTCAATACTGAGGCCTGGACACAGAGGTCCAGAGTCGCTCATCTTATTTCAAATCCCTGTTGCTCGGAATTCAAAACCCTGACTTGGTGGGAAGCCAGTCAGAAGGTATAAAACACACACACACACACACACACACACACACACACACACACACGCACACACAAATGAGTCCCGACCTCTTGGGGCAAAATGGGTTGCCCTTCCTCTACCCCACCCGCTGGTGACTCACCTCCCTCCAAACTAGGTCCTGCCCCTCCTGCGCCCGGTGCCAGGCGACCAGGGCGGGGCGGGTACTGAGGTGGGCTCCATCCCAGAGCCCCAGGGAGGGCGGGCAAGCTCCAGCGTGTCCCCGCGGGTGCCCTGTTTACGCCGAGCCTCGGAGCTAGGTGGGGGCGGGCCCTCGCGGCACCTCCTCCACCCCGCCCCTCTACCTCAGGCCCCAGTCCCAATCTCGGTCTTACAGTCTCCAAATCAAAGCTCAGCCTTTCCCCTTGGACTGGAGGCCCCTGCCCCCACTCGGGGCAGGGGAGGAACAGTCAGGGTTCCCCGAGGAAATCGGGCTTCTGCCCAGACACGGGCTCCGGGAACCCTGAAAGGGGGACCGAAATCCTAGGGTATGACACCAAGTTTCAAAGAGGAGCGCCCCGCTCTCCTTGCCCACTGCCCCATCCCATCCTTGACACCCTCAACTCTGGAGTGTGGTGGGGGGAGGACCTGAGCAAGGGAGAGAGCGCTCCGGGGCCCAAACCGGCTAGTGGACCCTCGGGACTCCCACTCTCGGACCGCTTCCCAGAACTCCAAAGCTGGTCGAGACTCCGACTCCCCCTCCCCAGGGCAGCGCGCCAAATCGGCGCATGCGCACTCGCAGGATTGCCGCGTAGCTCTTCCCCCCCCCTC